TATATAGTATATTACGCAATATATACTGAACTCTTTTCACGTTGGCCACCTAAAACTTCGGAACCACTTAACTTTCGAATTTGACAAATTAATGGTGGTTCAGAATCATATAAAGGGTACACAGTTCTATTGAGGAGCCTGAAGTCACTATAATTTAATTTTCACGTTTTCATTAGTTTCGTTTAGATCTAATCTTGGGAAAGTCCGTCTTCTAAGACGCTATTATAAACAAGTGAGGTTTCCGTTCAATAGCCGTGCGCACTGTTTCCACACTTTTGAAATTCTGAAGTGTACAACCACGAAAGCGGAGTAGAGAATCAATCTATACATCACTGTATCTAAACCTTCTAATTTTTGCATCTCTTGGGATTTATTGCTCCATTCCAGTGGAGTGTAAAAATATAGTAGGCCAATAACTTTCGGTTGATGTTAACGCACCTACCATTCCTTTCATTGAAAGGGGGCCCAGCTAGTATAATATATACTGACAAGCAAAAGAAAGGGGGCACCCTTTGTTCTGTGCATTATTTCCGTTCTTTACTGCAGTAATGCCGTATTGCCAATGGCTTTTTAAAGGCTTGCTATTTTTTCAATAAGTGCTAACAAAAAAAACTAAGGAAAACGAAGAAAAAAACAACACTTTTCTTGTCCATCTTGTCCCAGAGGTGCTTAATCACGTTTAAATCTGGACATAATACTGGCAACGGTGTTGTAACACGTACGCTATTTTGTTGTAAGAATCTCTGGGTACCAAAGGCACGGTGTGCTGGTGCAATGTCCTGCTGGCACACGAGATTGTTCCTGTGGCGAGCCAGAGACGGCAGAAGGTGTGGATAGAGAGCGTGATTGATGTATCTCTGGGCAGTCAGATTACGTCGATAATGACTAGATCGAATTTATCAGTACTGGTTATGGATTCCCATACCATAATGCCTCGTTTGTCAGCAACAGCACTGACACACTGAGGTAAATAACGTTCATGACGTCTCCGGTAGACTATCTGCCTTCGGTTGTGGCAACCCAAAAGAAATCTGGACTCGTCTTTTTAACACCACTCTGTTCTTCTGGCGGTTTGGCCATCGCCGGTGCAGTATAATAGCGTATTTGATACCCTTTTTTGTATACGGAGTCACGTGTTTTGTGTTAAAAAGAAGAGCGAAGATTTCGTTTTTTTTAAATACTATTTGAGAAACTAAATGAAGTATTGTTTTTTGTTTCTAAATTTTAAGTCAGGTTCGGTAGCAATGTCTACAAAAAAAAAAACGCTATTATCTTTTAAGACCGCATTTTTTTCCTAGAGGGTAGGTCATTTTGTAGTCCACTTGCACTCTCTGGGGTAAAATTAGTAAAATTAGTAAAACGCAGTTTGTTTTAGTTTATTATAATCTTTTCTTACAGAACCAGTATCTATCTATTTATCTATCTATCTATCTATCTATCTATCTATCTATCTATCTATCTATCTATCTAT